AACTGTACATATTCCTTTAATAAGTCTTTTATCTGTTTAAGTTTTCCGGGAAAAAAAATCCACAAGGGTCTAAGAAAAATGTTCAGGCATTTTTGCAGGACACTTGTGATTGTTAAATCCTCTGAACTGACCAGAACCAGGAGCGAAGGAGGGAGAGGAAAAGGGAATGGAGAGGAGAAGATCCTTGATGGGTTGTTTTTTTGGCAATGAAGTTACATATCAGGGTCCCAAGGGGAGAAAAGTGCAAAACCAAGCCAGAAAAATGGAGGAAACAAACAAACAACCACAACCCAAAAACAAAACAAAACAAAAAACCACCCAAGGCAGAGTGGTCGGTGATAGAGAGGGCCGACAGGAGGGCGCTGGGCACAGGAGGAGCCCGTGCGCGCAGCCCCGTTCGTCTCTGTCACTGAGTGGGTTCTAGCCGGGCGGCAGACGGCAATCTGTAAACATCACGAGGGAAAACACCAGTCGACACTAGACTTTTTTTTTATAATTTTTTTTTTTTGTAAACACTTTAGACAGACCCACAACGCCTTTGAAAGGTGTAAAAGAAAATGCCCTTTCCCTCCTGGGATGAGGGGTGAGGGGAAGGATAGCAGTGGATTCTTCTCTCAAACTCGCTCTCATCCAGTTTGGTGTCCTCAGGGAGAAAGGGAGAACCATTCTCTGGAAGTCAGTGCAGAAGGGGTGCCCTGTTCCCACCGGTGTCCCCAGCTCAGCTCTGCCCGTGTCCGATGCCTCCTCCCAGGAACGGGGGCTGGCTGTCCCTGTGTGGACCGGAACACGTAAGTCGCGCTCTGGCGGCCGAGGGCGGCCGCGTGCATCCCGCCGAGGCCGGCCGGGCGTCTGTGGCTCCGCTCTGGCGCCCGAAGCCCGACGTCCCGCGGGGGCTGGGGCTCCCGCTCCGGCGCCGGCCCAGTCCCTCTGCCTCACTCTCACCCTTGCTTTTTCTTCTCCCCGAGTCCTCAGTTTTTGAGGGGAAGGTAAAAAGAGCAAATGTCCCTGATTTGTCTGACATCATCAGCTGTTCTGGGAGTTTACTTGGAATAAATAAAATAAACCTAATGAAGAACGAAGGAAAACAAAACAAAGAAAAACGAGAGCGAGCGAGAGGGAAAAGAAAAGAGGCCCCAAAACCTTTGGATGTGAGATGAGGCGGAGTCAGGGTTTTGGTTTCTCTGGCGGGTTTTGTTCATTTGCCAGAAAAAAGAGAGTGCCAGCCCAGAGCTCGCAGGGGCAGGTAGGACGGGGGGCAGGGCAGGGCGGTCAGCAGGGGAGCAGGGTGCCCTGGGGGAGAGCCGGGGAGTCGGGCTGCGTGGTTAGAGAGGGACCACGTGTGCACATCTGGTAGGGAGGGCTGCGCCGGCCTGCCGCAGAGATGCATCTGGAAGCGGGCTGTGTGAGTGTGAGTGTGTGTGAGTGTGAGTGTGAGTGTGTGAGAGAGTGAGCATGGGAGAGGCAAGTGGCCTGCAGGTGGGAAGAACCAGCAGTGACATCATCACGGTGAGCACCGCAGAGGACAGCGCACCGTCCCCCAGGACGTCTTGTTTAATAAGCGGGATGTCCACATGGGGACAGGGAGTGAGGTTATCCCCCTGGCCCCAAAGAAGCAGAGACCCCGAGAGACAGGACTCGCCCTTGCCACCCCTCAAGCACGAGGCGGAGCAGGGCGCCAACCCAGGGTCTGGTCCTAGAGCCTCACGCTGCTGCTTCTCCCAGCCGGCACATTCCATGGGATCTTTCTGAACCTTCGTCAGGGAGACTCAATTTAGATGTCTGGAATACACTGGTCTTTTCCCAACGACTCTAATTCTACTGAGCAGGTTCTCCTTCGTTACCTTGTGAGTTCGTATTTCCTATCCTTTCCGGAGAATCATACCAGCCCCCGCCCCCCTGCCCCCCATAGAATCACTAACTAAGAAGATGCTCCCCTTTTGGTGGGGTGTGCAAGGGCAACTGAGCTCCCTACCCTCCAGGCCCCAGAGTGACTTGGCCCCAGTGCCTTGAGCCCGGAGCATCCCCAACCACGGGCTCACCTTTGAGAGGAGTCAGCAAGCGAGCCCAGCAGGGTCAGTCCGCGGGATGTTCTGGACAAGATCTGTTCACTTCAAACCACGAATCTATGCAACTGAGGCAGGGAGGAGGCAAGGGGAGACAGGTTACCGCGGACCAGGCTGTTCCTTAGGGGGCATTCTCCAAGGGTCAGGCTTCTGAGCGGAGGTTTGCTAAATCTGGCTCATGAGGACCTCAGGGGAAAACACCAGACACCCACTTTTTGAAGCAGGAAGAAGGGAGAACACCAAGACTGATCTCAGCTCAGCCTGAGGCATCAGCCCAGCATGGTGGGTACAGCATTGGGTGGATCTGGGCGCTGCAGGAAGTGGGGAGTATGGCCCTCTATGTGGCTTGGTGGGTTGTGGTCGGCATGGAGCCTGTCCTGGAGAAGGTGGACGGGGAGGGCCAGCCCTCTGGCTTAGCGACGTTGCTGGGGAGGGCCAGACAGGAGGCTGACAGTCAAAACCCGGTCTCCAGTGTTTGTAGAAAGGACCACCTGAACCAGACAGGGAATAGAGATTGCCCCAAGACAGCTTTCTGATTTGGAAGCCAACATCTGGGTATTTTCAAACACAGAAACCAGGTAGATAATTTGCATAATTCCCCCCCAGAGCCAAACATTTTCATCTTCTGGTTCTGAGTGGTGCCTCCCTGGGACACTGGAGGACTGTGTGCTGGGCCCAGGCCAAGGCCCCTCCCCTGGGGCCGACCTCAAGCCTCTCAGGCACCAGCCACATCTGTGTGCCAGGCACCATCACCGCCTCATGGCCAGTAGCCATGTGCGGCGGGCTGTGAAAAAGCCTGTGTGTCAGAAGCAGCTCTGGGACCCAAGGGGCCAAGAGCAGATGGCACAGAGTGTCCTCCCAACTTGGGTAACGAGGTGTCTTCTTTCGAGCAGGAAACAAGAGCGAGGCTCGTACTGGCGCCTGAGGACGGTTCTCAGCCCTGCTAATTCTAGCAGCTTTTAGCGCCGCGGCCGCACAGAGGGGCCCATGGAGAGAGAAAAGGCTCAGGGAGATGGATGCAGAACCGACCTTCCAGGTGGGGTCCTAAGTGCCTCCAACCTGTGGGGCTCCACAGGCCTCCCTGTCAGCCCTCGCCATCCAGGCTGCCAAACC